GTTTTAGTTAAATTGAGAAGTATGTCAATAGATAATCACAAGAGAGTAATTGAAGGAGACGAGAATAGATAGGAAAAAGAATAGAAGAAGCTATAGAAACTCAAAATACGTTACGCTCAGTAACATGTGTCTATAGCGATTGAAGAATAATTGTCGTTCGCCTGTGTATTATCCTATGAGACAAATTATTATCCTTAAACAAAAAATTAGGTTATAAATTTACATAATACAGGACTCTAGCATTTTCCAACAATTCAAGACGAAAGCATAGTAATCGAAACAAAAGAAATGACCTGTTACTGGTTGTCTATGTGAAAAAAACTGGATGAATATTATTCTTTGTTTTTTGAAAAGTCTATTTAATATGTGCTTTCTTTTGTCACTATCTACAATAAATATTTTCCTTCTATAGGTCTCTTCTTTAAAAGTTATTCTTGCTTTTCTTTATCACATTCAATAAATACATTCAAAGGCATTCATCTTTTGTTATTAAATGAAGTATTTGACATTGAAACCACTTTTGAGTATTCGTCAATAAATTTCGAAGAAAAATCTTGACAATTTTCTGAAGAGATCTTATTATATAAAAGAACCTATCGATTATAATTAAGTACTAATTCTATTATGTATATTATAGAGAAAAAAAATTTTGCAAGGCATTATATTTTTTGACAATATCGGACAGATCTTCGCATACTGTTATTAGACTTGACATCATATTCTCTCTACTAACAGTGAGAATATAGAAAAACGAACAATTTCGAAATTATAAAGATTTTCAGTTTGAAATATTACTCTCAAAATGAAGACAACATAGAGAATACATGCACAAATAATAAATTTAGGACGTCAGATATTTTCACTTCATACTTGCAAATAAATTTACTGGTTTAATCAATATTCATCTGAAAAAATATCAGAAATGCATAAAAATGATGTCTATTCTTCGTCATTTTATTAAAATTCATAACTTGTCTAAGTTTTATGCAGTAAATAGAAATCTGATGGTCATTTGTATTGAAATTCGATGTCATTTGTAGATTGACGAAAATCGATGAAAAAATTATGGAAAGAAAATTATTGAGAAATGTCAATCGAAACAGATTACTTAAAAAACGTTTTGATCGCAAGTTAAACAAAACAAAAAAGTACTAAAAAAAAAGAACTTTCAAAATTAAATTGATATCGATTTCAACAGAAACATTTTTTTCTCATGTTTTTTATTTCGGATCAGATACTTGTGCAAAAATTTAAAAGAAAATTTAGGACGCGACTTTTTTAGAGACAACCTACAATTCAACAACTGATCTTAGTTTTCTTTTCTTTTTAGTTAACCCTTGAAAATCTAGGAGACATTTTTTGATTGTGAGAGGAAGCTGATGACAAAAATAGAGATTATGAACCTTCAGTATGCTCATACTGTAGCTAAAAAGAATTATCTTGTTCTTCTCTTCTAGACTTATTGAATATTCCTTGGAAGGAATATTCGATCTTATAGAAGAATCAAAAGAAAAGAAATTTGATCTGAAATTTTTTCCACAAGGAATTTTCATGTTCCTTAGAACGCTCTGTAATTTTCAGCCAAAACGGATGCTTTCTTGCTGAGAGATTGAATAAGGACAAAAAACGATGACATTTCACAAAATCAACTTTTCTTTTCAACGCGTCATATCCGGAGACGGAAGCATCGATTTTGACTGAAAATTGTAGGACATTCGATGTCATATCGTGACAGTAGATCATGTCGAAATTTCAAGGCTGATTTCATAAGATAGTTAGATTCATATATTTTTCAAAAATAAAAAAATAAAAATACAAAAAGATACTCAATTTGCAGTGTATGTGAATCGACTAATAACAAACAATTGATCGACGAGAGCTGATTAGGTTGCCTTCGTTCACTTTAATATTGATTGAAAGATAATGAAATAGTTCGATGTTTAGTACACTAGTTTCATGATGAACAATGGATTATCTTTTCTGAGAAAAGAAGCTGTTAGAACAATCCCTATGGATTCTGCAATGAAATAAATCAATTGTTGCTGACATTTGTATACAGTGCATCAACAAAACGACAATTTTTGATTGATAGTCGACTCGAGAATTATGGAAATTTTACTGATTATTATCATTTATCATCAACAAATCATTATTCTCAATCAAATCGTAAATTTCTTATTAAAAATAATCCTTATAATGATCGAATTGATCACCTAAAAACAATTCGTATTGAAACACACTTAGATAAGTTTTAGATTGCAACTTGACAAGTCCAATCATTTGAAATAAAATGTCGAATAGCACATTACCTATGAAAATCAATATCGAAAGAAACATTGAAATTTATTGAAACATGTAAAATAAAATATCTCTCACAATACATTGATATTCATATCAGAAGAGGAAATAAATTAGTGAAAGAAGCTCATCAATTGTCATTACAGATATATATATATATTAAATCAATTGAAAAAATATTAAGTAGAAATAACAAAATTCGGCATATATTTGTTGCATCAGATGATTTTAAATCAGTCGAAGAATTACATCAATTAAAACCAACATGGAATTTTTTCACTATAAATAAAACGAATCATCATGGAACTAATATAATTAATCATTTTCAACCGAATTTTAATCATCTATCATCCGAAATAAAATTAAATGAAACGCGTTTATTGATGTGTGAACTACAAATGTTGATTGATTTTCAATATGTATTATGTTGTATGTTCTCAAATGTTAGTCGGCTCGTACAAATATGGAGATATCAACATCGAACAACTACTATTTCATTAGATCGACCATGGTATGCCACATAATCATAGATATGCGTCATCACTATCTATCTTACAAACCTATTCAACTAACAGTTAAAACAAAAATAATATCCATCATATCTACCATTTTTTTTTAATTAAATTCGTTCCAGAACATTTTTTGAAATTCATGTATTCGATCAGATTGTCAAAGACTTCGATGATTTATTACACAGACTGAAATTGAATTGACTTTGACAAGAATATAGAACTAAATTAACCTAGAATAAAATAATTCATAATCAATTCTCTATCGATGTACTTTTTTTCTCTTCATTACAATAAAACTGATCGTGTTTGTAACAATCAGTCACTTCTATGTAGTGTAATCGTTTGATTCGTTTCTGAGTTTTCTATCAATAGTTCTAGATGAGACAATGATTTTTCATTACGATGCCGATATTCATACTACCACCACCAGCTGATCTTTCTTTCCTCTTTATCTTACCTCTATTGTTCTTTCCGGTGTTCACCTATCTCTCTCTGTTGCTTTCTCCTATATTAGCGTGTGTTATATGTGAAGTATATACATGCTGGAGATGTGAAATAGCTCAATAAACATCGTTACTGCAGGTGGCGGTAAGCTATTCCATTCAGTTTGTTGTTACATGACAATTTCGGCAGAAAGTTATCGTTAAATGACAGCTATCATAACAAAAGTTGCAACTCTAAGTTCCAAGTTGGACCTTACCAAAACTAAAAACAACTCAACATCGTGAATCATCATTTGATAATACAACTTAACAACAACGAACCGTGAATAAACCGATTAAAGTGATGAATGCATGGAACGACGAGGGAGTTGAATGACATAGCACTGTCGATTGACTACAGAACTGATTCGATAGAGTACTAAGTGCATGACATTCTTACAGAATACCAATGAACGTACTAAAGGACAGCTAGACTTGAACCGATTGTGTAAACATTCCAGCACACTTTCCTTTGTAACATTAGTACATTTCATGTCATTTCTTCTCAAATCACTCAATTATTTTTCACCTTTCAGTGTTACGAAAAAGTTAGTTTTTGGTACATCATAAATTTATTTTTTCTTATCTCATCAATAAAAGAATCATAGTTTTTAACTTTATTCCATTAATCAAGTTTCGTAATTGGTTAGCAATTTCAAATGATGCCATGTCATCATCAATCATTCGCATAATCACTTTTCGTAGATCTTTAGGTTTTATTTCTTTTTATTAATTGACACACACTTATACAGGTATGATTTGTTATTATGAAGTTCGTATGTCTGTCTAACAAATAACATTAGAGTGGGTGCAAAAAAAAAATAATCGAAACATATATCAATTGGTCTAAAATCGGCCATCGATAATGCCCTTTGATATGATTCATTAATCGAAGTTCATAGCATCGAAATTTGATCATGTAGAATTTTGTCTATTTTGAAAACTAAAAGTACATACATAGAATAAGCTTTATATTGTAGATTATAGAGCTTTTCATGTTGCATCTTGTGATATATTTTGTTTTCTAGTAAAACATATTTTTAATGATGAAAAAATAAAATACAAAACGCGACCATTCATTCTAACCCGCCCGTTATACTGCAAACATATTGAGCATTCCTAGTGCTACAAGTATATATGGACAAAGTTTTTTTTCAAGCTTTCTATACTTTTGATATAATATCAACATCATCATCATTTTTGGTATGTCCTAAGTAGTACTTTACTTAACACATGTTTATATCTAAATGCATCTATATACGCATCTTTATTCAGTCAGTCTAGAATCAAGTGAATCAAATTTTGATGAATGTTCCTTACAAAAATTAATGAAACAAAATTTATTTAAATCTTTCTTTCACAACTCCTACGATAATATCATCTTTATTTTCTCGTTGTTTCATATATAATCATATAAAGAAAAAAGAAGCGAGTGATTAGATTCGCACACATATATAAAGAAAAAAAACAGGCGAGTGAGCAAGATATTGGCAACAGTAAGGCCGCATACCACATGCAAAACAAGTGTAAGTAAATAATGAAGAAAACGTTTTGGGTTTTTTTTGAAATATAAACTAATCTGAATATATACCAAAAAGAAAAAAAAAAGACAAACGCAGAGACTGTTTTTAAACAGTGTACTAATCATAATAATAGCATTCGGATAGTATATATCTATTCTTTTTTTGTCGGTTTTTTGTTTTTGGATTTAATAATTCTTATCTGATTGATTAATATTATTATAAGTTAGATGCCATTGTTGATCATTTTCATCATAGGCTTCAATTGATTTAAGAAATGTTCGACCATCAAAACCTCCAATAACATAAATTCTATCACAACAAACAGTTACACCAAGACCAACTCGTGGAATATTTAATTCATTATAAATTCCACTGATATTAATTAACCATTCATTTGTTAGAGGATCCAATATTTCAATTGATGTTAATGATGTTACACCGTTTGAACCACCAATAATAAATATTTTATTATGATATAAAACTGCACCACAACCACGACGATTTTCTTTCATTGTTGGTCCAAGTCTCCATTCATTTGTTGATAATGTTAAAATTTCACATAATGATAAACATCGAGCTAATGTTGAACCACCAAATACATATATTTTATCATTACAATAGACAACACCAGTTTCACTTCGTTCAGTATTCATTGAAGCTAATTGTGACCAACTATTATCATTTGGATCATATCGATAACAATCATTTTTACATTTATCACCTTCCATTCCACCAATTAAATATACATAATTATCATCACTACACATAGCTAAATTTTAAAGAATATTCTTTTTTTCTAATTTATAAAATAAATCGAAAATTCTTACCACTATGTGCGACAGGTGTAGAAAGTTCTTTTATCATTGACCATTTATTCATAGATTTTAAATCAAAACATTCAGCTGTATTTAATTCTTTTTGTCCATCACTACCACCACATACATAAATTTTATCATCAACAATTGTAGCTGACACTCGACCTCGTCGACTAGTCATTGGAAATGATAATAATTTCCATTTATTTTCAATTGGATCAAACTGTTCAATTGTCTCAAGACAATCATCACGATTATATCCGCCTAAAATAAATTCAATAATGTATATTACATATGATAAAAAAATATCAACACTTGCCAACAACATAGATCATATCATTTATTGATCCTGTTCCAAAACAACATCGTGCTGTTAGCAATGAACCGAATGTAATATCTTTATCAAACATTAGTATCGGACTAGTTGTATTTGAATGACTATCATCAAAAGTTTTTTCTATAGGTACAACAAGGTTATTTTCAATTGCAGTAGGGCTTGGTGACAATGACATATGTATAGAAAGAATTGACATTTTTCCTTTTATTATTGCAATAGCAATATAACTATGATCTAAATAAAAGAAAAAATAATTCAAAAAAAGAAAAATATTTATTTATTCTAACTAACCATTTGATTGGCTCATATGAATAAGTTTTGTTTCTGGTGTATGTGAATTCATTATTGTATTTGATAATAAATTATGATTATTTATTTGTAAATTTGGTGTTTCAAAAAAGAAACTATCATTCTGACTACTTGATGGTGATGTTGTTGATAAATTTCGTTTTGTTAATTTATAACTTTGATAATCCTACATAAGAATATAATTTAATAAATAAAAAAGAAATCGAAAATTATATTTAATATTACTTTGATGAAATCAGAAAAATGAATATTTTTATCATCCATACTTGTACAATCAAGAAGTGTTTCACCATTAAGATAAAGTAGATGCATCTAAAATAAGAATCATTTGTTTTTCTTTTTTATTATCGAATAAAGATTAGGTTTTTTATTATCATACACAGTCACAAAGTTCTTGAAAATCACTATTTTCTTCACAAAGGTGTTGAATAATCCAATTTATAACAAGATCACATATTATCTTTGGTTTAAGGACTTTCGAATCTAATTTTATAGATGATTAAATGAAAGAAAAATTAATTTTTGATTTTTCTCACCAATCAATTCTAATTTGATTGTTGGTAATGTAAGACACTCACGAGTTTCCAGAACAACAGTAAAATTATTTTGAATACATTCATTTGCTTTTGTACGAAGGTCATCATCCATAGCCAATGAACGTGTACCTGAAAAACATAAAGGAATACAATAAAATATCATTAATTTTCATGATTTCTTGAGAGAAAAACTAAGAATAAAACATAATGGATCTACGAATATTGTTTACATTAACAACTACATTTCCTCAATTATTAAATTCATACTTCTGATATACAAAAAAAAGTTCCATGTACAACTAAAAACAGTATCAAACAGTAAATTTCCCTTTTTTTTTTACAATACATCGTGAACAACAACGTGGACATTAAGTGAAAACAATGAAAATGAGTTTTTTTCAAGGTTTTCAATAGTAACTTATACACTTTGATTAATGATCAGTTAGCGTATAAAAATGCATTTCGTTTCCTTTTGATTGTCAAGGTTCAATCTAATTGTGTCATATGTATAGAATGAAAGATTATAAGTTACCGATTATTTTGATACCATCAAAGTTATGAACACGGTCTATCTCCACGGTCTAGTAAATAGGCAGTTAGTTATTGATACTAATCAGTAGTACGAGCACTCGTTTCATAGAAAATAAATAAAGGCGAAGAATTATTTAAAGTTATTTTGACAGGCCTTTGTTCAACATACATTTTCATAATAGAATTATTCATTTAGAATAATGTTTTGAATCTATTGGAACGTATACAAATCTTTCATTGCTCATATTTTGAGTCTGAAATACAAATATACATTTCATTTATTGTTTAATTATCGTGTTAATGAACTTCATCCACACTTAGTTTACTATCTTGAGGTTCGATTTTCAAGCAGAATAATAAATATTTCACTTCAAATAAATATCATAGTTGAAATTAGCATGAAAAAAGTGAGTCGACTTATGTATGCTTGAAACATTTTCTTCTGATCAAATTTTCACAGCTGGATCGCCTTAGAGATATATGAAAAGGTGAATTTGACTAAAAAGTCATGATGGCAATAGAAATCAAATTCTAAACTTGCAAAATGCTATTTGAGAACAAAAAGACGAGTAACTAAACAATAAAGTAGTTATTTTGATTAAATTCATTTTTTCACTTATTCCTCGGGGAGATGCAAGTGTGAAAATTTCATCAGAAAAAAAAAGTTGCAGAAAAAGTTTCAAGTATACATAAGTCGACTCAGTTGTTCGTGTTGATTCTGAATAGGATATTTATTTGAAATGGAATGCGTATTATTCTGCTTGAAAATCGAAAAAGTAAGTCATTTCGTAGCACTTGAAAAGGTCTATCGATTACAAATTGAACTAAGTGTAGAGGAAGTTTCATTAACACAATAACTAAATAACAAATGCAATGCACATGGATATTATAGACTCAAAATGTAAGTAATAGAAGATTTATATATGTTCTAGTAGATTCAAAACATTATTCTAAATGGATAATTCTATTATGAAAATGGAGGCTGAATACTGGGCTATCAAAGTAATTTTGAATTATTCTTCACCTTTATTTATTTTCTGCTAAATGAATGCTCACATTTCTGATTAGTATCAATAACTATATGACTCAATTAGATTGAATCTTGAAAATCAAAAGGAGACGAAATGCATTTTTACACGCGTCTATCCTTTCAGCATCTTTAGAGGAAAACATCATTGTTTGGTGAAAAATAACACGCGTTAGATAATAAATCATATATATATTCTGAAACTAGTACGTCTGCTTAAATAATTCATAAGAATAGTTTTTGCTTTGAAAAAAATAACTATCCTTTTTTACGCTAAACATTTTTCAAAAAGACGCGTTCAGTAAAGTAGACCGCTTTGTTTTTCTATTTATCTTATATCGACGAAATTATGAGAGAAAAATAAAGAACTATTTGGAATCAGTGAAAAAAACTATATCGACTCATGTACAATTTGTCAATTTTTAAAATAAAAAGTTTTTTCACAGAAGTTTTTCTCATCAATCCTATTTTTGAGTATATTTCGATGATAAAAATTCGTTTTTAATAGAAAAAGTTTTGTTTTACCAAACTTTACAAACTAGGACAAATAGCTTAAATCTTCTTTTCTCATACATTGTAACATATTGTTATTAATATGTTCTTTCCATCATAAAACAAATATTGATAGTATGTTTTCGCTGAAAATTCAAAAAAGACGTAACTAAAATATTTCCATTTAGAAATAAATCTATTACAATTTTTTTATTCAATGAACACTTCCTTGTAAACTAATACCGATCGTTCTGGAGATTGAACTATCGAAAAAATTCAATAAACAAAATCTTGAATAATATGTAGAATATTTGTTTATACATGGAATACTAACAAATGAAATCTATTGAACAGTTTTCAAGCAAAGGTCTTAATTACTAGCTGATAACAATATGTATTTTGAATTCTTATGAAACAAATGATATAGTACTGAAATTAGAAGTGAAAATGACAAAGCTCAGCAGTTTATGGAAACTCACCAATAATTTATGAAAGATCAGATCGTCATTGCTGAGTGACAACGTTATTTGGCACGTATTCACAAGGTACCATGTGTCAACGTTGATACAAACAGTCATAGAATGACCTTGGATGGGTCACTAATGACCGTTTGCCTCAGATCAGCCATTCTATAGCATGCTGACTACGTTGTGCCATACACCTGCTCTTGTGGTTAGTTAGTGTGTATAGCGAGTTGAAGCAATCGAACGCAAGAACTCGGTACCAGACTTGTCTTGTGTTCAAAGCTACAGTTAGTATTAGTTGTAGGGAAAATACTGAGCTATTGAATCTATAGCTAAGTAGTACCTCATACCGAGAAAGTAGCTGAAAGTCAGAAGTATTCTTATTATTCTTATTATTATTACAGGTCAATTAAACACTTAATAAGATGTTAAATTTGTAACTTTTTTAATACTCACTCTCTATCATGATATTCATTCTGTAAGTATCAATAAATACATGAATATTTAAACATACTCTAAGTCATTGTTTTATTTATATTTTCTCTTCCGAAAAGACGATTCAAAACATCCGAATGACAAACATCTATTTTTGGGAACACAAATACATAGAATATGATACAATAACCACAAACTTCAAGACGAGTAATCTGATTTTTGGAGAGTCACCTCTCCTTTTCTCACTCTGGACAAAATGCTTTTGTCAATGTACTGTATGCGGCAAACAAAAATGTTCTATTCTATGATAATTATATGAAAAATTATTTTTGAATATGTGATTCAAATTTATGTTGCTGTCACTTTTAAAATATTAATTTCGATGAGAAAATACTCTCACAAAATTATAACATACTCAAACAATTGTGTTCTGTCAGTTGTTCACTAAGATAATTTGAGCAAGCTTTAAATAGTGTTTCTATACGTAATTGATATGCAGCCAAATAAACTTTTGGTACCATTTCTGGTGTTAAAAAAAAACTAAACACATGAATTTTAAGCTTCTTTTTTTTTCCTCTCATGAATATTATCTACCTTCCACGATAAATAAATTGAATAATTAATTTTAAAGCTACATGTTCAAGACCATCAATTTGATAATACATTTGTTTTTTAGTTGTTGTATCATTTTCATCATGAAGAAAAAGTTCAAGGAAATAATTTGAATGACATGATAATAAAGCTCGATGTGCAAATAATTCGTGACCTTCGACCATTAAAATAACATCACATAATTGTCTCTCTTTTCTCATAGCATCGAGACATTTTAATGTTTGAATTCCATGATCATGGAAATTTTTATATTTGAGACTTAATCCTGGTGTTTCATTATCATTTGATTCTAGAGTTTCAATTACAACAGGAGATACTGTTTCATTCATCGAAGATGATTAAAAAACAATGTTTTTATTTAATCGGATTATATTTAACTTTAAAACACAAATAAACAAACAAATAAATGGACATCAAATAAAATCTGGATCAACCAATCATCATATGGAGGAACTAAAAGGCGTTGTTATGGGATTGGTTAACTAGTTTTTGTTGATAAAATAGTATTCATTTTGCTTATTTTAGTAACTAAATTTAGTTTTAATCTTCTACTGAAATCACTCGTTTTATTTTTATCTTTTCTATCTGAAATGATCACATCTTCCAAATAATTCTCATTATATCCTAACCGCATAAGATCTGTTGATTAAGTCGTTTTTCTATTCAATCATAAAAAAATTTATTTACTAATGAAATATAATGTTATACAATAGAAAAGAAAATTTAGAAACTATCCTTTCCATTTGTATCGTCTAAGTAGATATGAAAAATTCTCTTTTTTTTTTGTTTTCTTTTCAGATTAGTGCTTGTACCAGCATAAATAATGTCCGATTCAGCATGTACAATTCGCACACGTAAATTCAAATCAAATCGACTTTTATGTCGTCGTCAAATGGTTGTCGATGTTATTCATCCAGATCGTGCATCACTCTCAAAAAAAGAAATTCGTGAAAAAGTTGCACAACTTTATAAAACAACATCTGATGTAGTATTTTGTTATGGTTTTAATACAAATTTCGGTGGTGGTAAATCAACCGGTTTTGCACTTATCTATGATACACTTGATTTTGCTAAAAAATTTGAACCACGCCATCATCTTGTACGACAAGGTCTTGCTGAACCAAAGAAAACAGCAAGAAAACAACGTAAAGAACGTAAAAATCGTATGAAAAAAGTACGTGGTACCAAGAAAGCTGCTGTCAAAGATGCCAAGAAAAAATAAACAAACAAGATATGAACAAACAACTTTATTGGATGTTTGGATATGTTTTTGTTTTCTTCTTGTTTATATGTATCATCAAATATAAAACAAGATAATAATAAAAAAAAGAAGAAGAAAGAGCATTTTTATTTTAACATATTTCTTTTATATCATAGAATATCATTAACAAAAGCATGAATTTATCTTTCTTTAATATTGTTTGTGTTTATAGACTCACAAAAAAAAGTTCTCCAGTTGATAAATCGAGACTATATGCATAATATAGATCCAAAGGAGCTCTGGATATCTTGAAAAGAGTTCATGCCTTACATTATTGCTACAGAAATACTACACTTTTATGATATTTTTTAAACGAATGCCATGGTAAGAGAAAAACTTATTTTCGAATTTTGACTTGAAATTTTGCATAGAGACATACCTTAATGAGAGTAGTTTCAGATCTTGTGATTTGCTTCTATCCTGAAATAAGAACGTCAAGTCGACTAGCTTTTATGAACAATATAAAAGATACATCATTACTATAGTTGTCTCCTAGAATAGAAATAGCAATAAGATTTAGAACATTCACAAAATGCCCTTTTTCTTAAGACTAGTCTCTATGCAAAATTTCAATTCGAAATTTGAAAATCAATTTTTCAAGCGTTCCTGAGAGAGATACCATGGTATTCATTTTAAAAAAATACTGTAAGAGTGTAGTGTCTCCGCAGTACAATCCAAGAGCATGAACTCTTTTCAGAATACTCATAGATCATTTGGGTCTGCATAATGTACATTGTCTCGATTTATGAGTTGGAGGACTTCCTTCGTGAAACATACAATAGTCGCAAAAAATCCTACTATCAGGTAGAAAGTACCTAAAATTTAATCCTTTAGCATCATAGTTTGATCAAAATATATAGATTTTTTTCGTTAGATGAGAATATCTCAATATAGAAAATAAATCTCATGACGATAGACCCCTCATTCGATAGCTCAGTGCTACCTCAATCACTAATAAAAATTTCATGTCAAGCGGTTTTAGTTTACCTGATTTATGAAGTAATCTCTACATGAGGATCGATGGAAATTGGCGAAAAGTGACCAATATCTTCGGCTAATTTTAACTATTCACCTTGAAATTTTCTCCGGTGAATGTCCTGCGTTAGTCAAACTTCTTCACAAAATTTCACCGTCGCAATCATCAATGAAGCAGAGATCCATATTGGAACGTTCCCAGATAATTGAGGCCTCCCCACGCCTCAAGATTACAGAGAATTGAAGTACTCTACCTGTGGCACAATATAGACATAGAATCTTTATTTATTAATAAGAAAATGGAGGTTAATACATTTGAATAGTGGAAAATCAAAAAAACCTTTTTTCAGGTCTAGGAAAAAAACCAGTGTTTTCATCGTAAATTCTTTGCATTAAGGCCAATTGATCTTTGGTTGCTGCTTGCAATCAGGGATTACCGAGCTCCATTTGGAGTCAAAATATCAGGCAAAAGTATTAAAATTTATGTACTTTGTAACTGGTAGCAGGACTTCTTTCGACTACTGTACTGTGTCTAAATTGATAAAAACATAAGCATAATGTATAGTACAACCATCTTTGTTGGAATTCCGTAAGATTTTCAATGGAAACTATGCTGATAATTATATATTTCTCATATAAGATGAAAAGCTGTTTTTATATTAAATTTTTCGAACCATTTTAAAATTTGATCTTGTGAAACTTTTGTTTTTTTTTGAATATCGTAAGGTTAATTAACCCTTTGGGGACGGGTTTTTTTTTCTGTATATTTCGTCATAAATCAATCAACGTTTCTATTTTCTAAAAGAACTTATAATCTATTACTGGATATCTGAATAAAATAACCTAATTACAATCCAAATTATACCAAAAAACTCTCTGATAAATGCTTTCACAAAAACTAATCTCATATAGGAATCTGCGTGTTTTGAGATGCTAGAGAATCGCCATGGCCCCTTAAGGGGCCAACCGTCCCCAAAGGGTTAATATAAAATTTTAGAATCAAGGTGGTTGATAACACGAATCAATCCAGACAAATATGAATAACTTTGACATGCAGAAAATCAAAGAGCATCAAATAAATTTTTTTTTAAATCTATTTTTTGATTATAAAATAGGATATTGAACGACTCTACATTTTATGAATACCAGATGTATACAGATGAATTATTCAGTACCCGCGTATTTATTCTATTGTTCAAAAAATTTAAAAAAGAAATTGTCACAGATGTACGATAAAGATTCATATATGTATACATTCATATTGTCAAATATGTTTTGATAAGATATCACAATCAATTTAACAAACACTTCATAGTAGCAATACAAAATAATGTTAATGAACTGTTTTTACATTGAAAATTTCTTTGACGAACTAAAACTCAAATAGGTAGAATCGAGTTCTGTTGACATCTTTCCACTAATATGGAATTTTGATTATCAAATTGAAAAGAACTAGAAGAGTTGGTATATCATAATAACATAACAGATGGTACTTCTATGTTGAAGTTGAATATTCATGTGAATAAGACTCATTAAGTAGTATGTTGGGACTTCAAATAAATATTAAACTTGATGAATTACAACCGACAAGCGAAGTACACATCAATGCTTAAATTTACAACGAAGTAGATAATAAAATTTAGATTAATTGATCACAAAAAGATAAAATTCTGGCTAAATAAATGTTGAAAAATTAAAACAGATTCTCTAATTGTTGTTCCAATTCATCATGCACAATATTCTTCCTGATTAGAATATAATGTAAAAAATATTCGCACATGAAGATGTTACTACACTATGACTTTGCTATTTATCTCTTGCAATACCATATGATGAAGGCTGGATGTATCTATTTCATCTAGTTCTCGGTCCAAAATCGTCCTCTCTTTATTAGTCGACAAATTGTATCTTTATTTCGTTGTACGTATTCTCGTAGTATATAATTCAATCGATTGTTTAGTAGAATATTCCTTTGAACTCAGACGATTTATTTCCAGGATTTTTCTAGAGAGAAATTTTATTCGATTTCTCTCATTGCGTCATATACATTGTTGCCAACCACATTTATATTGACATTTAGACAATGAAACTATTGATACAGTTAGACTTCTATCTATTGGTTGTATAGTATTAGGCAACATATGGATGATTTAATAAGAACTTATTGGTTTTTTTGAAGTTCTAAAGACTTGGCGTAAATCACTATTACAGATATGCCGCTATTCTTCTATTAATATTAGTTTTTCGTTATTGAAGATTACTATTCATGAAAGTATGTATTAACAATCTTATCATAGATCAGATCGATAGTCCCATCTAGGGGATTTGTGCACTTTTTTGTTATCTTTCTATTTATATGATTCGTAAAAAAAATTCTTCTATGAATCCAAACTAAAAAAAAATCTGTGTTGGTTATTTTAGTTTCCAAGTAATATATGCTTGTTTTCTTTATTTATTTCTCAAGTAATATTAAATCAATTAGTCTTACCTTAATAACTGACTAGAAGATATAATAATCAAATGGAAAATCTTATGTTGCTTGAATCATTCTATCATATATGACTAAAGTCTGAATTTTGACAGACACAAAAAATTAACTTACACATCGATATTTATTATGTAATTATGTTTCACTTTTATTTCAATCAAAAATACGACTGTAATCTTTGTAAACCTGTCTGTTATATACGAGAATAGACAGTATGTATCATATTAAATACTTCGATTTATTACCAGAAATTTGTTTCTTTCCTCCTCTTTGATGAAAATTATGAATATAATAGGAAATTATAGTACGAAATAAGCACCTATGTTGTATTTTTTACCAATAGAATATTTCACGTGTATATATTGTCTTACCAAGATTTCTATTTTGTTTTAATATTACACAACAAATAGATAATATTTATTAAATAGCATAGCAAAAACCTTCATATGTCTAATTCAAAACCAAGATATAGATAAGATTAAAAAGAAATTTTAAAATTCTTGCATGTATCATTATGTCAAATTACATTTTACAAAAGATAGAGATATATGTAAGAAGATACAAGCGCCTGAATGTCATTCTATTGTTACATATACATGAAGAAAATTCTTTTGTTTTTTTGGAAAAAATTTTAAATGCAAATATCCGTAGAATATAAATCCTTCGATGAACTGCTCGATAATTATCAAATTAAATCAATCTTCGACTTCTAATAATAAACTCTTGATTAATGAAATAGATACAACTTTGTTTCAGAAAATCATATCATTTCTTTTATGGAATATTTTATCATTTCCGTTTATTTTGTCATGTGTGTATTGATAACTGACATGATTTTTTTTATTATGGAATAACTAAATCTTTTTTGTTGAGTTTCTAGAAATGTACGGGATCAAGTTTTTTTTTCAGGCCTAACATTTTCTTTTCCAGTGATTCTGACAGGAACGTGACACCTTCCTGCTTTTGAAAATTGTCTGCACAGGGCCTTTTTCTGTGGCTTGACCACGCTGTACTCTCACCTCATGCCTTCAGTGCTGAGTTACGCCTCTGAGTCTGGACAAATCTTCGAATTTTGTTTCTCTTGTAAGATCAACTATTGTCCATTGAATGTAAAAACTCTTTATGAAATGTACTTTTTTTATTTAAAAAACACATGAATAACGATTAGATCTGCAAAATCTATTTTGGAACAAAAATAAAAGTTTAAAACAATTTCCACCAAATCAACAAAAAATTAATCATTCGCCTAAGAAATGATGGAAAATCATTATCCCAACAATTAACTTTTGGATTATAAAATTCACTTATTCGTATTAATTTTGTTGTAGCTGTTTCCCAATTAAAATTTGGTAAATGCATTTTTCCTATATTAAATATATCACGTATACGTTTTAATAAATATTGTCTTTGTTCATTATTTTCTTTCATTGCATGTAAACGTTGATAATGACCAAGAAAACAAAGTGTTGAATGATAATCATATCTTGCTGTTGGTCCATAATGTTCACTAACATCATATAATTGTGTCCATTGAAGATATTTTATATATTCTGAATCATTTTTATTTAAACGATGAAGTTCTTTTGCAAGTTGTTCAATTGTTTGATAATTATCAACATGAATATATGAATTTGGTATTGCTATACGTTGATATTGTTCGATTTTAGCACCTAATACAATCGGTACAGCTTTTCCATTAAGACCGTGATACCAATATTTTTCTGTTATATATGTATCACATTTTGAATTTTCAAATGATAAATAAAAACGATAATTTGATAAAGTTTTTTCCATACAATTTGATGTACCTTTTGGACATTCCGTCGGTATAATATGTGAATGAAATAATGATTTACATTTACCATAGATATCAATACGAATACCTGGTTGTGAACGTAATTTATATACATATTGTTCACGACCAGAATGACTATCACAATTTGATACAAACCAAGCTATATAAACAATATTACGATTTAAAACACGTGGACTAATTGGTGGTAAATATGGTTGAAGAGATTGAATTAAATCAGTTGATAATGGTTGATTACATGTATAAGGACAAGCTTGTGAATGTGCATCTTGTCGATCATTTAATTCTTTATTTAATACTGATGTAAGAGTATTTAAATAAATTGAAGGCACATTTATAAATGAATTTGATGGTGGAAGAAATGTTGAATTAATTGTATGATTAAATTTAAGATTTAATTTATTTTGAATAAGATTTACTATTTCAGGTTTAATACGATATCCCTAAATAACAAAAAACAAATATGATTAAACGGATATATTGAAAGTTTTAAAAACAAAATGTTTGCTTATTTTTAATTACTTTGAAAGCGTTTCTAAGGAATCAAAAGTTATGGGTTATGATCAGAATTTTGTTCTGTTTTCGAATGTAGACTCAGAAATTTTCTTGAGATCAATGAGATGATCAATAGTTTAAACGGAATTTTTTTTGTACACTTTTGTACTTTCATTATTGTAAATCGAAAGTAAATGTTGAAGCATTTATTAATATATCAGTTTGTAAAACAGAAGTCTACCCTACAAAATGTACTATTGGAGTTTTTCTACATATCACTTTAATTTTCGTTTCTCTTAAATCCTCATTTTTGACCAAAAATTATTTTGTATAGAAAGAAGCTCTTGACAAAGTGCCTGTAGTTACGCTTAGATAAAAGTCATAGTTTAATTCAATATAGAATTTAGTAAAGAGGTATCCACTCAACAAAAATTTTTTGACATCTTCGAAAAGGAACCTACAGAGATTAGCAAAAGTCTATTAGTTTACCATTCAATTTAATTTTTTGAATCTTTGAAAAATTCATTCACTAGTCTCGAACAAAAATTCAGATATAATTTCTAAAACCATATTCAGAAAGTGCACAATATACTGATTCTAATCTATAACTTTTGACTCCAAGAAAACACTTTCATAAGATCCAAAAATAAATAAATACTTAGTAATATGTTTCAGAATTTTCGATTCAATCGTTATCGTCAAAAAGGAAACATACTCTATATTGAATATGAAAATCAGATTCTGGTTTTAATGTTGCTGTTAAATTAAACCAATCGTCAAGTTCAGTTACATTATTTATTTGAGCTGTTCTATAAGAATTTCTTGGAGATTCTTCAATATTTATTAACCATAATTGTGATTGATGTTTTCTTCTATATGATTCTTTTTCATTAGATAATGTTGGAAAACGAACAAAATCAACAAGACTAACAATAATACCATCAGCATATGCATACTCTTCAGGATCATATATTTCACATACTTGTTTTAAATTTGTATTAAAAACATTTGACTGTGAATCAGTGCGTGAACCATATGATGTTGTATAATGTGCAATAGAAACTTTTTTAAATAGATAACTTTGATTAGATCGAAAACGAATTTGAGGAATAAAAGGTTGATGTGTTTTAAGCATTGAATTATAATAAAAATAAATAGATATTAAAATAATGATAATAATGAATAATAACATTCGAAAATTAATAGGTTTTTTCATAGTATATACGATAAATAATGTAATCGTCGAATGAAATAGAATTTTATCTAATTTTAATGATCAAGATTAAATTATAATAAATTAAAGATGGAGCCAATGAAATTTCTTTTTTGTGTTTTTTTAGTATAATATTTTTAAACTAATATTGTCACCATGTTCTATTCTATACTGATTCGTAGCCGCATTTGTTCTACCGTCTAACACAAAGAAGAAGAAAAAAAGTAAATATGAATTCTGCATTTGATCGATCTTGTTGCTTTTCTTGTGTGCAACATATTGCGTCATTATCAAGAAGAGTGAATTTTAGTTGTCGCTCGTTGAATGAGTTTTTTTTTCTTTCTTCAATCAAAACTTTTTCAGTCAGTTGCCATCTACAGAGCGTCTCATGAACAGCGCTACGATAAAAAATTCAAATATCTACACTCCAGTTCAATCAAATGGGCTAGTATTTTTGGCTAGTGATAGAACTTTATTCAAAATTTTTTTTTTTACATGGATAATCTAAGCAAACACTTCTATCAAGTATTATTGTTGACCTCATTAAAGAAATTTTATCTGTTATGATATAAGATGCTGGCAAAGCAAAATTCAAGTAAATTCTTTTTTCGCGATTTTTTTTACATCATTTGATAGAGCGTGATCTGCTGATCACAAAAA